TGTTATGAAAATGGAATAGGGGTTGAAAAGGATGAACATAAGGCATTCGTTCATTATCAAAAATCTGCTGAGATGGGTAATTCTGTTGGAATGTCTAGAGTTGGATTTTGTTACCGAAATGGGATTGGAACATCACGATATTTACAAAAGGCTAATTATTGGTATCAAATGTAAATAATCTATTATTTTAAATTCATCATTAATTCTATAACTATAAAATTTTATAATATATAATTTTCGATAATTATTAGGGAAAAAAATAAAATATTGGGTAATTAAAAATATTAGCCATACGGTAATTATTGTATTACTAACATTAGATTTTTTATCCTAGATGAAAGAAAAAATGAAAATTTTAATATTAACGATGAAATAAAAAAATTATTAATTGAAGAAAAAATATCCACTGTCATGGATTTCATATAAAGAATTTAATAGTATTAGAAAAATAGGACAAGGGGGATTTGCAACTGTATATTATGCAACTTGGGTAGATAAAAAACAAAATTATCTGAGAAATGTTGCGCTTAAAATACTTCACGGATCAAAATCACAAAACGAAGAATTCATAAAAGAGGTGATTTTTATTTTAATATCTTCATTGTTAATAATCATATATTAAGTATCATTTTTAATATTAAAGTTAAAGGCGTATTGTGATATTTGCTCCAAATATCCCTCATTTTTAAAATGCCATGGAATATCTAAAGATGAATCCTCTGAGGACTACATCCTTGTATTGGAATATGCTCAAATGGGATCATTGCGCCAAAATCTTCAGGCAGTAGCACAAATGAAATGGAAGGATAAAATAACATTACTGGATTGTATTGCATCTGATCTTCAAATGATTCATTCGCAAGAGCTTATTCATCGAGATTTACATAGCGGCAATATTTTACAAGATAATTTACATAGCGCCTATATTGCAGACTTGGGACTTTCAATATCTACAAATATAGAAATGAATGCAGAAAAACGAGGAGTATGTGGAATATTACCATATATAGCACCAGAAGTTTTGAACGGAGGACAGTATACAACAGCATCAGATATTTATTCATTTGGAATAATTATGTGGGAAATTTTATATGGAAAATCAGTATCTTATAATAAAAATTTTGAAACACAACTTCAAATTGAAATAAGTCGCAATGACTTAAGACCAATAATTATTGAGAACTCACCACAAATTTATATAAGTTTAATGAAGAAATGTTGGGAAAGAGAACCATTAAACCGTCCATCAGCAATAAAAATCTGTGAAATTCTTACAGAGTGGCAAAGCGATGAAAATATTTTATTAGAATTAGAAAAATCTGATGAAATATCACAAAATATTCAAAGCTCTCTTATTCAATCATATTCCGTTGATGTTTCAAAAAGCAAATTTATTAATTATACCGCAACATATTATCTAGGTATTTCTTTTGTTATTTAATAATTAATTTATTCGTTAATACTAATTATATTTATTTAACAGATATCGATTTGAATAATTTGAATATCGAAGAGCAAGATATTTACAATAGTCAACTTTTGAATTTTAAAAAATTTTCAGAACCATCAAATGCAGGTATGAATATTCTCAAGACATTTTATTTTTCGTATTTAATGTACATAGTGAATCTCAATATGACGGATAGTTCAAAATCAGCGAAACCTTTACATGTTTTAACTAATTGAATATCCATTTTATCGAGACAACAATGTTATGGTTGTTAAATGGGGCAGATTTCAACCCACTCAGGGTTTTGCCTTAATAGCAGCTCCATATGCTCCGGAGCATTTGCAAAAGTCACATACAATCAATTCGATTGGATAAATTATTTTCCACGTCAATGCCTATTGTTTTTTTTTGTGCATACCATTAAAATCGTACTAATTCGATGTACAGTACATTTCATGGGCAAAGATTGTTTTAGCTCTGGAGTAACCCGGAGCGAGCAGATTTAAAAAATTATCACTACATTTAACAACCCTACACAATGTAATAAAATGATTAACTATAATTCTTATAGATTTTGACTCAGATAAGCTTAGTTTCAATCAACAATCATATCGTATGACGAACGAATATAGAGAAGAAAATACCCCTGATCACATTGAGTTAATAGAACCTAGCATCAATATCAGTAATGGTAGCAATTCAAAAGTTTATAATAATACTAACCATATAGAAATCTCGGGTTTTATATCAGTGAGTGCAACAATCTTCCAAGGAACTTCAGTTGATTCATATATTCAAATTAAACAATTGTACACTTTAATTAATGAGAAAAAAGATGAAATTAATAAAATGCTTGACTCTAAATCGGTTTATGCTATAGGACCCTACTTTCAAAGTGGCTACTCTGTGTTAAGCATTGCCTGCTATGTCACAAAGCCTCTTAACAAATTTTTGATCAATGAGCTTTTAAATTTGTTCGATAATATGTATGAAATAATAGAAATCAATAATGAAGGTATAAATAACGAAGCTATAATTCAAGATAAAGTCCCAAGCGATGGTTTACTAGATAATGAGGGGGATAAAAATCACGAAAAAACAAACGAAAGTAATGGAAATGGTGGAAATGAAAATGACGGGAAAGGGAATAATAGAGAAAATATAAATAATGGAAATCAAAATTATGGAAATGGAAATAATAGTGAGAACACAAATAACGGAAAACAAAATGATGGAAAAGGCGAAGATAGAAGTAATAGCGAGAATAGTAGTGTTAAGAATGATCAATTTATTCAAGTCGTATCTACAGCAAAAGCCAAAGAAGATGAAGATTTTCAGAGTTTTGAAATCAATGCTCGTATCAGAGCAAACATAAATAATGAGGATATTTTAAATTTTAGTATCGAGTTTGTCAAGTGTAAAGCAAGCCCAATGCTCAATAAAATATGTGAATCATTTCGGGGATGGTTTGTTGGTTTCTATCTTGAATCTATTATAATTGAGGTTTCTCCAATAACAATTAATAACACGAATGATGATCCAGATAACGAATTAGTTGCTTTTATATTAATATCACAGCGAAGTATTTGCTTAATAGTGATTCGAAACCCCTTCATACTTTCTGTAATACCCCATTTTCCTGAATGTCGAGAACTTAGATCTGGGCCCATTCTGTGATCATCAATTTTATAAAAATTAAAATTTTTATATAACCACTTCGCTCCTCTTATTGAACAAGACTCATCTTCCATTTTCCATACATTGGTGGTTTTTTTTATACTATCACTATTTGTTGAACTATGGCTTAAGTTAGCACCAATATTTTGTGTTGAAAGATTAAGTTGAACAGTATTATTTGTCACATGATCTGTCGAAACTTCATAATTTTCTGGTCCAATTGGCCGTGGGCTATATGCTTCTTTTAATATAAAAGCAACTAATTCGTTATCTGGATCATCATTCGTGTTATTAATTGTTATTGGAGAAACCTCAATTATAATAGATTCAAGATAGAAACCAACAAACCATCCCCGAAATGATTCACATATTTTATTGAGCATTGGGCTTGCTTTACACTTGACAAACTCGATACTAAAATTTAAAATATCCTCATTATTTATGTTTGCTCTGATACGAGCATTGATTTCAAAACTCTGAAAATCTTCATCTTCTTTGGCTTTTGCTGTAGATACGACTTGAATAAATTGATCATTCTTAACACTACTATTCTCGCTATTACTTCTATCTTCGCCTTTTCCATCATTTTGTTTTCCGTTATTTGTGTTCTCACTATTATTTCCATTTCCATAATTTTGATTTCCATTATTTATATTTTCTCTATTATTCCCTTTCCCGTCATTTTCATTTCCACCATTTCCATTACTTTCGTTTGTTTTTTCGTGATTTTTATCCCCCTCATTATCTAGTAAACCATCGCTTGGGACTTTATCTTGAATTATAGCTTCGTTATTTATACCTTCATTATTGATTTCTATTATTTCATACATATTATCGAACAAATTTAAAAGCTCATTGATCAAAAATTTGTTAAGAGGCTTTGTGACATAGCAGGCAATGCTTAACACAGAGTAGCCACTTTGAAAGTAGGGTCCTATAGCATAAACCGATTTAGAGTCAAGCATTTTATTAATTTCATCTTTTTTCTCATTAATTAAAGTGTACAATTGTTTAATTTGAATATATGAATCAACTGAAGTTCCTTGGAAGATTGTTGCACTCACTGATATAAAACCCGAGATTTCTATATGGTTAGTATTATTATAAACTTTTGAATTGCTACCATTACTGATATTGATGCTAGGTTCTATTAACTCAATGTGATCAGGGGTATTTTCTTCTCTATATTCGTTCGTCATACGATATGATTGTTGATTGAAACTAAGCTTATCTGAGTCAAAATCTATAAGAATTATAGTTAATCATTTTATTACATTGTGTAGGGTTGTTAAATGTAGTGATAATTTTTTAAATCTGCTCGCTCCGGGTTACTCCAGAGCTAAAACAATCTTTGCCCATGAAATGTACTGTACATCGAATTAGTACGATTTTAATGGTATGCACAAAAAAAAACAATAGGCATTGACGTGGAAAATAATTTATCCAATCGAATTGATTGTATGTGACTTTTGCAAATGCTCCGGAGCATATGGAGCTGCTATTAAGGCAAAACCCTGAGTGGGTTGAAATCTGCCCCATTTAACAACCATAACATTGTTGTCTCGATAAAATGGATATTCAATTAGTTAAAACATGTAAAGGTTTCGCTGATTTTGAACTATCCGTCATATTGAGATTCACTATGTACATTAAATACGAAAAATAAAATGTCTTGAGAATATTCATACCTGCATTTGATGGTTCTGAAAATTTTTTAAAATTCAAAAGTTGACTATTGTAAATATCTTGCTCTTCGATATTCAAATTATTCAAATCGATATCTGTTAAATAAATATAATTAGTATTAACGAATAAATTAATTATTAAATAACAAAAGAAATACCTAGATAATATGTTGCGGTATAATTAATAAATTTGCTTTTTGAAACATCAACGGAATATGATTGAATAAGAGAGCTTTGAATATTTTGTGATATTTCATCAGATTTTTCTAATTCTAATAAAATATTTTCATCGCTTTGCCACTCTGTAAGAATTTCACAGATTTTTATTGCTGATGGACGGTTTAATGGTTCTCTTTCCCAACATTTCTTCATTAAACTTATATAAATTTGTGGTGAGTTCTCAATAATTATTGGTCTTAAGTCATTGCGACTTATTTCAATTTGAAGTTGTGTTTCAAAATTTTTATTATAAGATACTGATTTTCCATATAAAATTTCCCACATAATTATTCCAAATGAATAAATATCTGATGCTGTTGTATACTGTCCTCCGTTCAAAACTTCTGGTGCTATATATGGTAATATTCCACATACTCCTCGTTTTTCTGCATTCATTTCTATATTTGTAGATATTGAAAGTCCCAAGTCTGCAATATAGGCGCTATGTAAATTATCTTGTAAAATATTGCCGCTATGTAAATCTCGATGAATAAGCTCTTGCGAATGAATCATTTGAAGATCAGATGCAATACAATCCAGTAATGTTATTTTATCCTTCCATTTCATTTGTGCTACTGCCTGAAGATTTTGGCGCAATGATCCCATTTGAGCATATTCCAATACAAGGATGTAGTCCTCAGAGGATTCATCTTTAGATATTCCATGGCATTTTAAAAATGAGGGATATTTGGAGCAAATATCACAATACGCCTTTAACTTTAATATTAAAAATGATACTTAATATATGATTATTAACAATGAAGATATTAAAATAAAAATCACCTCTTTTATGAATTCTTCGTTTTGTGATTTTGATCCGTGAAGTATTTTAAGCGCAACATTTCTCAGATAATTTTGTTTTTTATCTACCCAAGTTGCATAATATACAGTTGCAAATCCCCCTTGTCCTATTTTTCTAATACTATTAAATTCTTTATATGAAATCCATGACAGTGGATATTTTTTCTTCAATTAATAATTTTTTTATTTCATCGTTAATATTAAAATTTTCATTTTTTCTTTCATCTAGGATAAAAAATCTAATGTTAGTAATACAATAATTACCGTATGGCTAATATTTTTAATTACCCAATATTTTATTTTTTTCCCTAATAATTATCGAAAATTATATATTATAAAATTTTATAGTTATAGAATTAATGATGAATTTAAAATAATAGATTATTTACATTTGATACCAATAATTAGCCTTTTGTAAATATCGTGATGTTCCAATCCCATTTCGGTAACAAAATCCAACTCTAGACATTCCAACAGAATTACCCATCTCAGCAGATTTTTGATAATGAACGAATGCCTTATGTTCATCCTTTTCAACCCCTATTCCATTTTCATAACA